ACGTTCCAACGTTCCAAAGATTGTAGTCTTTCCTTTCTTTCCTGGCAGAAAGTTAGCAGAACTTACCAACCGTAAGAAAATACGACTGTGGAAGCTCTCTAAGCATGACGATGGAAATAAAAAGGGAAAATGAAAACTGATTAAGGGTATTTTAGAAGTGGGTTTAAAACTTTAGCTGAATATGAAGTATAAATAATGAAAAAATCATATTATTTACTTCCTAGCGAAATAGATAACAGCCGGAATATGCCCCCTTTCTGTACCAATCGAAATATACAAGGACTGTTTTTGTGTATCATGCCATTTTAGTTATTACTGTCTGAATAATTAGTTAATAATGGATTGTTAGTCATGACAAACAGTTGTGTGTGAGCAACGCCGATGATAACTTTTGCGTCTGAAGCCGAAATATATGGGTAAAGTTATTCTGCACCAAAAGCCAGTTACATTGAAGATATAGATGAATTACATTTCACTGATATATAAATGATGAATTTTCTGAGGCTATTTTGCTTTCTTCGATTTATTTTTACTGTTTGTTGTCAGCAACACTGATGTTATTAATTATCATTAGTATATTACTGATTGTTATTTTAAAATTTGCTTCACCTTTGAAGGAGATGTCCTGCTTTCCTTAAGTTGACGCAGACTGTTGTAATCTTCTTCATGTGTTTTCTTCTCTCGTGCCATCTTTCATTTTGGCATTAGCAACTTGAAGTTATAACTAGCTTCTTACTAATGACCTGTTGTTAAAAGTGGGTTAAGGTTTTTTGTTTCAGAAAATTGGAGCGTTCAATTCGACCCGTGGGGTGCCAACTTCTTTCATACAGTCCAAGCAGCAGTGGGACAGCGCGAACGCGTGGCCTCCTATGGTGCACATGCTTATCGAAGGCTTTCGAACCACGGGCGATCCGAATTTGATGGATTTTTCCAAAGAGCTGGCTCTGCAGTGGCTGCATTCAACGTACTCTGCCTACGTACAAACGAATGCTATGTTTGAAAAGTACAACGTATCTTCGTCGAGCGACCACCCAAGTGGCAGCGGTGGCGAGTACGAAGTACAGGTAAATTTGTTGTTGTGCTTTTTTAGGCGTCCACTGTTTCATTTTGCTACAGTAACGTTTTGAATTCCTAGTCTGTCGGTGTCGGTAATACGCAATGTTTTGTTTAATAATATAATGCCAACATCGAACTAATGAGCGATGCGTTTCACTTGTCTATAGATCATTTGTATGCTTCCCCTCTCTCGGCCAGATTGAGTTGCTCAAACTGTATAGCATCAGACCTTAATCACAAAGTCTGTCGCATCACTTACTTTTCATTTTATATTTTTGTGGACATAAACAAGTATCATTTTGAGGCTAACGTTGTACTTAGCACATAGTTTTTGAAGCAATCATGATAAATGGCTAAAAATTACTAATAGCGTAGAAATCGAAGTCACGCCGCTCATCGAACTTCATTAAAAGGTGAATATTCAGTATGAAGAATTTCTGGTTTCGAATAAATACATCTGGCTTGTAGGATCTGACGAGTTTTCTCCGCAACATTCTTTTATAAAAATTAACATTTTAATAATCGCATTCTGTGGAATGCGAAACACTTTATCAGCACTAAAGTTTCATAAAGCTTTTACCACCTTTTGCTGTTTCAAAAACAATTTAATGGAAGAACATTTTATGTCCAAGTTCATTAGTCTGTCGTTCACTATGTTTTTTCTCCCAAATATTCCGAGTTTGGAGAAGTTTTGCCTCAAATCGAGGATAGAGTTTTACCTGTCAGCCAAGAACCTACCGTCAGTTTGTGACGCAGTCAAGGTAATTAGTAGTAGTTCTAGCGTACATCTAATATGCAAATAATGTCATGCGCTTGAGTCGTTCCGTAGGTGTCGCAACACAGCTGTGAGATTCCGGTTGCACATCAACTGCTGAAAAACGCAGTACAGAGTCATGAACAGTTCCTCAATTAATGTATCTGGTTCAAGAAAAATTTCTCTTTTGTGATAAGCCAGTTGCAGAACTGTTGTTTTTCGATTTTGCTGTGGATTTGTTAAATTACCACATTTATTATCATCATGTTCTGTAGACCGGTTTCGGCTGGACAAACGGTGTGATTTTGGATCTTCTCTCGGTGTACGGTGACGTTATATGGTCAGCGGCGACGCCTAGTGCAAAGCCAGCATTTCTCTGGTTTTTTGTGCTTTTTGTTTTTTTATTCAAATGGTTGGGAACATCTCTCGTATCCTGAACAATACGGTGCTGAATATGAGACCACTCTCATACTGTTTCCGACTATGATTACGTAGACACGTGTGCGAGGAAGACAGTTGTAATTACGGTGATGGTCGTTCTACATACCAGTGAGGAGTCGCTACAAGTCATGTGCTGAATGTGATAATTTTTCCCGTTCATTATCGGATGTGTAACTTTTAAGCTCTTCCAAAGATCTTTTTTTAGGAGTGAAATTATTATTACATGTCAGGTTTGGTTTCTGTATAATAAATATCTGTGCATCTCTTTCAGTTTGGTACCATTACTGTTGCGCAGTACAGCCGTGATAAATTTTCTTGGCTTTTTCTAGCGGTAGTTTATAGCCGTTTATCCTTCTGATCGCGCAAGCAGCGTTCGACACTGTCTCCAATGTTTTAGATTTTGTGCTAGCGTCTGAACTTCCGCAGAAGAAAGTACTATCTGATTCCTCTGAGTCTACGTATGTACCACCTGTTTCACCCTCGTTTCTAGAAGCATTCGCAAGATGTGCTACAACCATCACAACTATGACTTCTCAGTCTGGGGAAGCAGCGGCTGTACACAAAGGCTCTTTCGAATATTTGAACTTCGGATCAAAGCCCGACGATCTCGGAACGCACATTTCAGCCGCTGTACCTGAGATCGAGGCTTATCAGTCATTGTACACTATTAATGAGGATAAATAAGCATGAGGACGAAGATCAGTTTAAACACAGACAGCTTAGTCTTCAGACTCAGCTCGGCCTTAGTCACAGCGGTTTAAGTTCGTTCAGGTAAAACGCCGCTGGCGATTCTGCTCCGCCGGTCACCATTTCTGCCTCCCAATTTTCAGCTCTAGTAAACACGATCCGGGAGCATGTTAACTTTATTACTTGTTCTACTCCTCCATCATTTATTCAGGAAGTGCAGCGGTCAGGGGAACGAGAAAGCTGATTTTTTCTTTAAGTGGTCTTTTTAACGATAATCTTTTGGCTAGGAGCAAAC